ATCTAAAAGTGTTTGCATATCGTAAATCAACTATCATCGCACAGTCACTGTTATAAAAATTATTCTCGGGCCTGCTCGCGGCCACCGCTGCCCGTCCACCATTTCTTTTATTTGGAAATTTGTTCACGGGCGCAAGCATAATAGAGTTGTCCCAAAATCTTACATGAAATGAGCGTAATGTACCGGAATTAATTTTATCTCTTTAAGGGAGGGAGCTTTGCGGAACAACATGTTTAAACAACTAACAATAGAACGCGTAACTAACGCTTTGTAGTCTTTAACATTCCCGAGAAAAAAACTGGCATACAGAAGAAATATACTCGTGTATCTTTAACGCAATAAGAATGGACGGCACTTCACATAGAATAGTGCGTTTTTTATGTCAAAAGAAATAATGTAAACAAGAACGTGATTTTTGACAGCGAAAATATATTAGTGAAGTTTTGTTAATGTAATAATTCGATTTTGTCCCAAAATATATTTACAATGAAAACAAACATAACAGTATTAAAAGAACATAAAAAAATCCACAAAAAGCATGCCTCTGAAAATTTCTTATCTTGATACTATATTTTTAATGTGCCGATACAGACGCTTCGTCTTTACATATATTATGTGATATATATATATATATATATATATATATATATATATATATATATATATATATATATATATATATATATATATAATATAATATAATATAATGTAAATTCATTTTAATTTAAATTTACGGACTATAATTAAGTACCCTACTCATTGGAACTTGATCAAAATTTAATAATATGTATATCAATTATCAAAGTTTTGACGGAATTTAAACGCAATTTCCAAAAAATGGCATTTTTTACATATTAGAATATCTCGAATTCATAAAAATGTTGACAAAATCTATGCAGAATAGTAAATGAATAAAATATCCTCAATAAAAGAAATAAAATTATAAAACACATTGGCAATAATACATTTATATTTAAATAAATATATAAATGTAATATAAGTATTAAATATATAGCTAGTGGTACATGGCAACGTGCCTTAAGTCAAACTGCTGGAACTTCCCATACCATAATTTAATTCTTTTAAAACTTTAAACTTTAAAAGTTTTTGAAAGTTTTGAACAAATTAAATTATTTTGTGAATATGTATTAAATTTTTTGAAAATAAAAGCACATACAAATTCACTTGACCTGTCTTTACAAAAATTCAATCAACTATTCATTCTGTCGATGCAAGTAAAATATTTTTTGAATAATTCAAATCTGACTCTCCGTTTTCTCAAAAGCTGAATGGCCATATTTTGCATTTTTTCACCTTTTGCCTGTATCATCAAAACGGCTGAACCTGACTACCGAAAATTAATTAGCACATCTCCCTATCAATAGGAATCGAATGTTTTTTGAATAATTCAAATCGGTTGATCCGTACTTTCAAAATCACAACATACATACACACACGCACACACACATACATACATTTTTTCTAAAGCATGCCAAAATGTTCACAATATCATGAAACGTGAAGTAATGCAAGAATTTCATTTTCATTTTTTTGCGAGTACTATAAAGTTAATAATTAAAATATATTATATTCTTGTGTGTTGTCGTACTTCAATTAGTTTTATAAAAATATAAAAAAAATCACATACTTTACAAGAATTGTCAGTTGTAATTACTGGGATAATAATGATGCGGCAATGTGCAGAAATTGAAGATAATTAAAATAATTTTCAGGACTAAAATAAAAGTATTTATTTAAAAGTTCGTGTTAGCTTTTCTTAAGCGGTTGGCAGACAGACTTTATCAATAATAAAAATTCTCCTTCTCGATCACTCGTTTATAAAACTGTTATAACCTCATAAAATCATGGGGCAATTAGCAAGTCTATTAACCAGTTATACGAGACAACAGTAAGTTTATCTGAATCTGCTCGGCTCTATGAAGTAATTATTTGGAATTGGATCAATGAAAACGCCATAATCCCATAAATTGATCGTCAAATGTGTCCGACGTGTGAGATATTACATTAACAAACGGCTTGTCTGCCGGCTGACGTGATCCGGATGAGCGGCCGAGCAACTCTGTTGATTCGGGTCAAATCACGCCCTGCGGAGACAATGAGCGACACTTGCACGACTTACCGACACCAATTAATGACTTACAAATTGAATGCCGACGCATTTGATACGACACGAACACTTTTTATGCAGAACGGAGCGGGGCTCAAAGGTCCGCGGGTAAAAAGGTCCACCACCGATATCTCAAAAACAAGTGAAGTTCGGATTTTTTTAACAACAATATTTGAAAGTAGTGAGAAAAACATCTGTAACCAAACATCACCTTGATTCTTACGACGTCGCCATCAGGAGATAGGTGGCAATGTCTGAAAAATCATGTTAAAGTATTTTATTTTGCCGTTAGTTTTTTTTTGTTTGTGAGCACTGTTGTTTAGTTTACAAGTCCTTAATATAATTTTAAAGCATACGGTATTTAATTGTTTTATAATATGTATTGTTATTTTTAAGTTAGATTCAACAGTTTTTTATATAACCTTTATTAAAGCTTACGTGCGGGTGGGGTAAAAAGGACCCTCTGTATCTTTACTCTATCAAAAGTATAAACAACTAGCAAACCCAGCGAACTCCGTTTCGCCACCAGATAGTTTCGTGGGAAAGATGAAGATTTTTTTTTGTTTTATATTTGAAAAGCAAATGAGTAGCTGTCAAACAATGTATCTACCGGCACCATCTACTCAAAATATTGGTTTGTAGTACATGCTAAGTATCAGAGATGATGCTGTATGTGAAAAAATAATCCGCTTCTCTGTTGAAATTTTTCTTTAATTTTCTTTGCTATAAACCTCACGGAGCCCGAGACCTTTCCAACGAATGCAAAATCGTCGAAATCGGTTCGTGCGTTCTGGAGTTATATCGTCAGAAAGGAAAACCCGACTTATTTTTATATAATAGTTAAAAAATGATTAATAAAACACTAAATTATTTTAAAAAACAACTTTACAGAAAATAAGTGCTCTGAATTGTCCTTTAATACCCCTTAGTCGAAGTACACAGAAACACCCAGGGTGCAGATTCAATGTTTCATTTCTAATTTTGAAAAAATTTTCCGAAATAATAGCTACATTGTTTAACCAATGTAAAATACAAATTTTATGAGCTAATTTTCTTGCAAAAATCACACTGTATACAACCTTGATCTGGTACTCCGTCAGAAATATATTAAGGTAGGAATTAATATTAATTTGATTTATCTCTTGTAAAATTGCTTCATAACGTATACTAATAATTATATTCAGGTATTATAAACTAAACAAAAAGCTAAAAAAGTACCAACTAAAAAAAATACTTTTGTTATAGAGATTGATATATAACACTTTATCTCTAACGTGGTTGTAAGATTTGAAGTCATGGCTGGTTACACATCAGAATTCTTTAAAAAATCTATACTTCAATTGTTGTTGAGATAATAGTGGTAAACTTTCGTCTTTAAGCCCCGCTTTACCCTATATTTAATTACATGTTTACTAGTTTACTTATATATATTATTAACTCAATCACATTGTTAACTTCCCGTAGGGTAAGTTATTGTAATGGGCCGAAAATCGGAATTGAAAATTTTTACATTTCTCGACGTTTTGAAGATTTCTGAACGTTTTGGCATACCTCAGAAAAAATGGATGTGTGTGTGTGTGTGTGTGTGTGTGTGTGTGTGTGTGTGTGTATGTATGTATGGATACAAATTTCCAGTCACGTTTCAGGGCGCACGGATCAACCGATTTGAATGGTTCAAAAAACATTCGATTCCTATTGATAGGGAAAAGAGCTGATTAGTTTTTGGCAAAGGCAGGTCCAGCCGTTTCGGAGATACGGAGCAAAGAGTGCAGAAAATAGAAATCGAATTTTTGAGAGAACGGAGTATCCGATTTGAATGATGTAAAAAACATTCAATTAGTAATGATGGGAGAAGTGTTATTAGTTTTTGGCAAAGGCAGGCCCAGCCATTTTGAAGATACGGAGCTAAATATGTAAAAAATGGCAGTTTTTGAGAGAACTAAGCGTCCGATTTAAATGATTGAAAGAACTTTCAGCTTGTCTTAACAAAATAATTGATTTTGGAAAAAAAAATTTGTTCCATTTTTTTTTTTTTTTTTTTTTTTTTTTTTTTTTTTTTTTTTTTTTTTTTAGTTTTTGTATATCGAAAATATTTCAGATTTAATTTTTAATTCTGACTATAGTTCTAATATACTTTACAAATAATTTCAACTCTGCAATTCAGTTTATATAATTCTTATAAATATTACACAATGTTACAATATTTATAATAATCTATTTGAAAACATTCAGTATTCCTCGAACATTTCGTTACGGTACGGGAAGTTCCAGCAATTTGCCTTAAGGCACGATGCCATAATTGCCTCAAGACAGAATTCCACTTACAGCTAGTTTACACTTATTTTGTTTATTGCTAATTTGCCTATATATTCATCAATATGTGGGGGTAAATAATTACAAAAATAAATTGAATATACAAGATATAAGTTATCTTGATAAAAAACTTTTTTTTAATTATGAATGATTATTGGTTAAATAAATTTATGTATTCTAGTCAAATCAACACTGCTATCAGCGATCTAAAGAGTTTAGTAGGGAGATTTGCTTTAAAATATTATTTAAATCTGAATTTGTTTTTTAATAATATATACTTGTTTGTGCAATTAACTAAATTAGTATATTCAGAATGATAGTGTTTTCATTATATACTCGTAGATTTATAGATTCGCTAGATGTAACTCGATCTATTCAAGGATTTCAAGATATAAGAATATTCCAAATATGTTTTTTTGACAATTGATCTAGAACAATTTTCTGATACAAAGTATTTAAGGGCAAAATTCCAAAAAAGTCTCGATTTTAATTTAATTATGTAAGATAGATCACAAATTAACTAATAACAAAGTACATGCCAAAATAATTGTCGACCTACCTTTAATGCTATAGTTGATCCGCACAAGTCATTTGCAAACTGGAACAATCTGAAAAATTGAACATAATTATTAAGCCAAAAGTATTAACAAATATTAAAAAAAGATTAAACTGGTTCGTTATTAAAATTTATTACTTTGAACAAAGATGTAAACAAAAAATAAAGAAATGAGAAAGATAATAACCAAAATCGGTGTCCAAAATATTCTATAAGATATACCTATATTATATATATTATAATATATATATGATATATTTAATAATAAAATATTAAAACTTACTAATATATACAAAGTAATATATAATTCTCACCTCTGGCTTTGCAGCTGCAGACATTTCTTCGCTAAATAGCACTGCTTCATTTTTTCAGCATTGATTTACACGAAATTATGAAAAAATTATTTAGGTATCATTTTTTATTTAAATAATTAATTTAACTGATTTTACGAAACACTATATTATCTTTTACATTATACTACGAATTTATAAATAAGGACTAAATAAGGACTAAAACAGGCAAAATTATTTTTGAAAATTGCACTAAAAAACGAAAAACCAATCACTACAAGACATCACTTATTGTTAGTAGAGTCAATTGAAATCCCATTATAATCCTTTTAGTTAATTAAAAGTGACAGAAATCGACGAATTCGCTATATAAGTTCACGTTATTGCTTCTCGGATAATTTTATCTTCTATTGAGAAGCATTCTAATCATTTTCTGATTAAATCACAATCTGATATATTGTCTGATTTTACCGCCCTTTTATATTTTACCCTTAATTGATTATATTTTCAGCAAAAACATTGTTATAAATGTCGTTAAGAAGATTTTCTGTGCACTTTATCCTTGATGCTCATGATTTTGTGTTAGCATTGTACTTTTTAATTTCTGTCCATTGAAGTTTCTGCAAAGAAATTTTTATTGAAACTATTAGTTTTAAATTTCAAGTCTTAATTAATTATAAACCAATTTCAGAAGCATGCTTAGAAATTAAAATCGCTCACGTTTAAAAATCACCGATTCTTCTGGAACATCCCGATTACCAATTTGTTGTCTGAAATAATATAATTAGTTAAATGTACATGTGTAAATAATATACTAAATATAAGTTTCAATAAACTATAATATACCTCGTGATTTCCAGAAGAGAGCTTATCAGGAGCTGAATCAGGAGCAACAGCAGCTTCGAGCTTTCACTACACTTCACTAACAATTGTAAGACTATAATTGCAAAACTTGCACAAATGCACTATGCTGCCACAAAAGAATTTATAAATAAGGACTAAATAAGGACTAAAAACAGGCAAAATTATTTTTGAAAATTGCACTAAAAACGAAAAACCAATCACTACAAGACATCACTTATTGTTAGTAGAGTCAATTGAAATCCCATTATAATCCTTTTAGTTAATTAAAAGTGACAGAAATCGACGAATTCGCTATATAAGTTCACGTTATTGCTTCTCGGATAATTTTATCTTCTATTGAGAAGCATTCTAATCATTTTCTGATTAAATCACAATCTGATATATTGTCTGATTTTACCGCCCTTTTATATTTTTACCCTTAATTGATTATATTTTCAGCAAAAACATTGTTATAAATGTCGTTAAGAAGATTTTCTGTGCACTTTATCCTTGATGCTCATGATTTTGTGTTAGCATTGTACTTTTTAATTTCTGTCCATTGAAGTTTTCTGCAAAGAAAATTTTTATTGAAACTATTAGTTTTTAAATTTCAAGTCTTAATTAATTATAAACCAATTTAAGCTTAAATATTAACGATCTAGTAAAATTTATTTTAGAAAAATAAAGTAGGCAATAATTCACAAGTTTTATCAAGTTTAAAATTTTTTTTGAATGTCAATTAGCAATATCGATAAAAAACATATTTATGATGTTTACTAATGCGGACGATTTGCAAATAAAAAGTTTGATACAAAACTTTATATAATACAGAGTGTTAGCTCAGAAACAGAAAGTAAATAATTTAAGCTCATAATAATTAAACTTGTTATCTAAATTAGAATTCGAGTTAGAAGAGTGTGCATTGTTAAAATAATTAAAGAAAGTAATACTATGAATTTCAAATTTTCAAAATTGGTGAACTTGGAGATTCCCTCCTTTACAAAAATATTCTAATGTAAGCAGGCAAAATTGTTTGACGAAACTTGCCTAACTCATTTTCGCAATATAATCAGTGGAAGAAAAAAACAATGCTCAATGGATGGTTTTTTATTCAGACGTAAAAACTAATATAATAACAATTTAGTCATCTTTTATTTAGCAAATTGCTATATTTTGCAGAATATGTATTTGAACTTAGCAATTATTAATGAAACCACTGTGCTGCAACAATTAATGACATTTTACTGTATTTATATGGAAAAATTGCTTCGAGATACGAGAAATTCGACATGCGAGCGTGGTTTTGGAACGAATTAAGCTCGTAAGGCGGGATACCAATGTATATATATATTAGGGTGTAAAAAAATTCTCTGAAAGTTTCAGTTTCTGACTTCTAGATAGCAATTCAATCAAACTTCGTATGGAAATAGCAATGAAAAAATTTCAAAAATTAAAAAAAAATTTTTTTTATTTTTTTTAACTTAGCGACAACTGAATTAAAAGTGAAAATTTGTGTCATTTTTTATTGAAAATTCCACGCTCTGCAAAATTTTTGAAAATTTGTTTTGTGCTATTTCCATATAAAACTTTGGTTGAATTGCGCTCTATCTAAAAGTTAATATTAAGCTAAAACTTTCAGAGGATTGCTTTTTATCAATTTGGAACCATTTGACCCTTGGGAGCAAGGAAATTCAAAAATGTCCACATTAAGGACCACCCTAATATATATATATATCTATATATATATTATATATAATATATATGTGTGTGTGTGTGTGTGTATATAAGTATATGTGTATGAGTATAAGCATAGGTGAACTAGAGCCTCGAGCAGTGTGGAATTGATGGCATATCAGTCGTCGCGTTTTAGCTATTTCACACGTGTTGACTTATTACAGTCGGTAATATCTGAGCCCTCACCCTCAGCCCTCAGCCCTCCGCCGTCTGTTTCCCTTATAAGACACAAGTAGAACGGGGTAATTGGTGCACACTATGTGCTCGTTATTAAACCAGGGGTTAAATACAACTACGCTCCTATATTGATTTTTGTAAAGTATACTCGCATGCGAAAGTCAATGTTTATTGGAAGATAGAGTCACATTAACAACAGATTCTATATCCAGAATTTTACACGTCAGCTGTTTGACGAAGAATGGGGATGTTTTGGCAATATTATATGTAACACGATAATGCTCAATGCATAATTACTATTTAAGATTAATTCTATTGCCAATTTTGCTATCAGTCTCTTGTTATAGACATGTTTCCTATTGAGCCAAAATTCTTTTTTTTTTGACAATTTGGTCAATTATATTATCAATCACCTATTACTAATCAATAGGAGTTTAATACACTATACGTTTCTCTATTGAGACTCTATGGAGTCAATTTTATTATCAGTTTTCCTATTAATTCACATGTTTCCTTATCAGGCCAAATTCTGGCATTTTGTCAATTTTATTATCAGTCTTCTTATGCCACTTGCACTTTTTTTCAGTATTATTGGCAGTTAACACCCAGTGAGTTAATTATCACTTGAAAATGAATATCTACTTTTAATTAAAATATGACATTTTGTGGTATAATATGTTATTCGAAATATATAAAATCCAATTAAAACGATTTTTGACATAAAAGCAAAAAAAATATATTTTCGAAAATCAGATGATAAATACTAACTCTAATATATTTAAAATTAATTAACAAATCTTATAATAAATATTAAAACGAAGAAATTGACATTTAAAATTAACTGGGATTGTTATATGTTTGATATTGATATCGTTAATATCTTTTTTTAAAAAGTGGAAGTTATATTATTTAAACACTAACGTTACTGTTTTAAACAATGTAAAACAAAGGTAATTACAAATAGATACTAATAGATATAGTTTAGTCAAGTGATAAAATTATAATCAAATTTATCACTCAGTTAATAATTGGTAGAAATATATTTTAATAATATAAATCTTTTCTAATTAAAATCATAAAACGTCGAATGCATACTATTTTTGATAACTTCACAAATTCAATTATCAGAAGATACTTACGAAATTATATTGAGGTGTTATTTAAAAAAATATGTCAATGTGATATCTATTGAACTAGTATCATACTAGTATATATCCGCTAAAAAAACAAAACTAGCATTTATCAAATTAAAGTGAATGTTGAAGATCTATGAATAGTTTTAGAGAACTACATTACCAAGAAATCGATTATACCTATATAATTCTAACTTTAAACGTTGTTTTTGTTAAGCAAACATTTTTAAAAAGAATCATTCGACAAGTCGTCGAAGTCATTAGAGAAATGCTAGAATCTGATATGTCGTTTCTTTTGTCCCCGGCTTTCATTATTTTCATCTATCAACTTCATTGACATCTGCCCGATGTTTCCTCCATACTAACGACAGTAAGTTTTCTGCTGCAATTAATATCTACCAGACATATTGGAGTGAAATGACGACTGTTTGCAACGAAAATCTTCCGGAACGTCGACTTTTAGACAAGTAGTTAATCATCTAATGGAAATAGAGTTTATTATGGAAGACTTGAGAGGAAAAGTCGCGGCAAAAAAGGAGACAGAATTACAAATATTTTTAATTTCTTGCGGCAATAAGTACTTTACAGAAAAAAAAGTTGAGGACAGAGTAATTTGTAATTTTAACATATTTTTATATATTGCATTTATATTTTTAATTTTATTTTTAATATATTTATTTTGGTTATTATGATACATAATCAAAATTGATCATTCGTCTTGCAAGAAAATAATAAATTATATAGTATAATCTCAACATTATTTAAACGCCTAAACGCCTAAAACGTGAAGTATTAAGTACTACGTAGAGTAGAGCAGGACCTAAAAGGCGCGGGTAAAAAGAATCACCACCGATATCTCAAAAACATGTGAAGTTAAGAAATTTTTAATAACAATATTTGAAAGTAGAAGGCAAAAATTGTATAATCAGCCTTCACCTCAATCCTTACTATGTTACTATCAAAAGGGAATCCATAATACGCGTAGAAGTATTTTCTTTCATAGTTTTTTGCTTACGTTATATATTTGGTTATATAGACCTTAACATAATTTAAGTATACGTTTTATAAGATGTCTTGTTAATTTTAAGTTAAATTCAACAGTTTTTTTATATAACTTCTATAAAAGCTTACATGTGGGTGGGATAAAAAAAATTTGATTGTGAGTCCTGGCAAAAAGTGTAAACAAT